AGAACAATTCCCAGTGAAGGTTCACGATTTACCCGCGGGTTCTGGCGCTGGCCGTGGCGGCACCAGTGCTCTGAAGTTCTTTAATACGCATCAACTTAAGGTAACTATCTAAAATATGAAAAATTTAATTATCACGAGATAAGACAACTCTGTGCAAACGCCGAAATATAAACGCAAACGTTTCGTTGAATTGTGTAGTGTAATCTTCAACGGCATCCGGACTGTAATAATCTGAAGCAATGGAAGGGTGGTACTGTAAAAATAGATCCGCTTGCATTAGTACAGGCGATTGAGCGTTATTTGATGGTACGTGGATATGGCAGAATACGGGACGCTGACTCGATGGTCAGTGATGACGACAATAGCGAGGATGACATTGATGATACTCTGGTATATGCCTTTTCAATGGAGCATCTATCTTTAGATTAGAGAAAACCGATAAAATCGAGCGATTACATTTACCGCTTTTCTTTCCAGGCGGCAGTTGTGATAAGCCAAGGACCACCGAAACATAAACTTCAGTTTTTAATTGGCGACGTGGTTCTACCTTTCAACATGACGGTTTATCAAGCTGTCAGGCAATTTGGATGTTCCGGAGTGGATCATTCCGAGGCAGAGGCCGATAGTGAACCGCCACTTGGACACGATGCGGTATGGGTGCAAACCCATACGATATACTACAGGTATTTTCAAACATTCAGACATTCATTTCAGAAATTTTAAAACATACTCATCTTGTAAAAACGCTACACCGACAATTAACAATATCGCCACTGTCATTAAAAGTTACAGAACTAGTGCTGATATCATTTTTTTAAGAAACTTACCAAGACCATCGACTTTTATATTGATCTGAAAAGAAATATTTTATTTTTTCTGAACGCAGACCTGTACCAGAAGAAGATGCCGCAATCTCTCCAAAATCAGGGTCGAGCTCACAGGGTAATAGCAGGAAGGGCAAAGGAAAAAGTACAAAGATTAGTTCAAAGAGAAAAGAAGATAGTCTCTGGCTAGAAGGCACGGTTCCTCTTCAACACTGTCCCCTCGCGCCATATCTATCTCCCACATTACCAGCCTCGGTAACTATCGCAGACGCTTCTCTCGATGGGTTGTGTCTTTTGCGGCTCTTGCACGCTCTTAATCGCCATTGGGGCATACTGTTCCCTCATCTAAAAAGCATGAGCCTGCTATCACCTCAGGACTTCATCAATAATAAGATCGCCGCGAAAGCCAGCAGGCAACTACAGGATCCACTGGTGATCATGACTGGAAACTTGCCATCTTGGTTACAACAGATAGCGTCTGTCTGGTCAGTAGAGCGAATAGCTCGATCGTTGGTTTAATTTGACTAATTTTAGTATAATTCAAGAATTTATTTACAATAATTAAATTCAATTTCCAGTCCTTTTCTCTTTCCATTTGAGACGAGACAGCTTTTATTGTACGCGACATCGTTTGATCGAGATAGAGCATTACAACGTCTCTTGGATTCCGCGCCGGAACTTTCGGGATCGGACAGTCAGGAGCGTGTTACACCACGCTTAGAGCGAAGGAAGAGAACTATCTCGAGAACGGACATTCTTAAGCAAGCAGAGTTAGTGATTCAAGACTTAGCCTCTAATAAGGCCTTACTTGAAGTGCAATACGTCAACGAGGTTAGTTGATTTTTGTGCATACGTCCTTCTCGGACTGTCAATCCTAGTTGCAAGTCTCTAACATACTATTTATATTACAGGTCGGTACTGGTCTCGGTCCAACTCTGGAATTCTACGCTCTAGTCTCTAAGGAACTGCAACGCGCTGATTTAGACTTGTGGCATGGCAGTTCGAATCCTACTGAAAACGGATATGTTAATTCCTCGCACGGGCTCTTCCCGACGCCAATCCCATGGAACACTAAAGTATCGCATCTAGCAAAATTGAAAACCAAGTTCAAATTCCTTGGGAAATTCATGGCGAAAGCAATCTACGACTCCAGAATGGTAAAAATTAGCGTATCTCATTCGTAAAATCTTTTCAAATTTCTCCAATTGCGTTCTTAATATATTGAATTGTTTCTTTTAGTTGGATCTGCCATTTAGTTTAACCTTCTATCGTTGGTTACTGGGAGAGGAACATACTCTTACGTTAGCAGACTTGGCATACGTATGTCCCGACGTATATCGTACTCTTAGTAAGCTCCAGGAGGTCGTGAGGAAGAAAGAAGTTATGGAGAAGGATCAGACGCTACGACCGCACGAGAAAGCGCAATTAATTGAAACTCTTGATTTAGACACGTGCCCCATTTCCGAATTGGGTCTTGTGTTCGAATTACCGGGCTACGAGAATATCGAATTGAGGAAGGGCGGTAGCGAAATATCCGTTACTATTTACAATCTGGATCAATATATTAAGGTAAATGCATATCTCTCTTTCTCACTCACTTACTCACTCACTCACTCTCGACGTTCTCCTTTGCCAATGTCGTTTGAGGAATCACAATGATCACGCAATCTCTGTAAAATTTCAGTTAGTGGTACACTGGTTCTTGTATGAAGGCGTATTCAGACAAATGGAGGCTTTCCGGGAAGGTTTCGAGTCGGTATTCCCTCCGTCGCAATTGAGACTATTTTTCCCAGAAGAACTGGAGGCGGTATTTTGCGGCCACGCACAAACCGGCGGACAATGGGACGTGAAGACTCTTGCTGAGTGCTGTAGAACCGATCATGGTTATACACCGGACTCACGAGCCATTCGTTTTCTATTCGAGGTCATGTCCAAGTACAACAGCGAGGAACAGCGACAGTTCATTCAGTTTGTCACCGGTTCACCGCGTTTACCCGTTGGAGGTAGATACTTTGCCATTCTCAGTTTTCATTTGTATTATTATAAATTAGAGAGATTAGCGATAAAGTGCATGCTTATTATTTTTCAGGTTTCAAAAGCTTAACGCCTCCGTTAACAATAGTACGCAAAACCTTTGATCCGTCTATGAAGACAGACGATTTTCTACCATCAGTAATGACTTGCGTTAACTACCTAAAACTGCCTGATTATACCACTTTGGAAATAATGCGGGAAAAGTTGCGGATAGCCGCGCAAGAGGGTCAACACTCGTTCCATCTCTCCTAGAAATGGATGGAAAATCGGCGCCTCATTTTCTCCTTTATTCTTATATTATCCAGACCGCGAATTATCCGAACTTCGTTTAAGATCTGCGTGAAAATTTACGTACGTTGTCAGTGAGCAAATCCAACGTCGCGATGATTTTTATCCTTTACGTAAGTTCTTTTGAGGACTTTATTTCTTGAAAAAAAAATTCGTCGGAGCGACAGTTCTTTCTTTTGGTGTTTATATCTTTGCAATTTGGATTGTGATATACTTTGATCAGAAAGAAAAGTGCAAAGCTGCATAATTAACTGAACCGTGCGAGTTTACGCTCTCGCGAACGCTACGTACCGAATGGCTTGCAAGCGAGAACCTCGTTTTAGGAAAAAGAAACTTATCTTCAGTACGTTACAATAAAAAAAAGGAAGATTGTAAATATAGTTTAATATACACAAGTCGATATAAATACTTTATATAATAGTAACGAGAAAAATGATATTGCTATGAAAAATACTATACTAACTGAACATAAAATAGCCCGAGCGAGAAAGAAAAAGGAGGACGTTTACTAGATATAAGTAAATTTTATATCAGTGGTGCATTAAAAAGCATCGCCATACGTCGCCAATCTCCCGCGATCGTGGAAGACATGAAAATTTACATGCTAAAATCAGCAACGAGACGCGCACGCCCGTGATGAAAGCGCGCGAGCGCGTGTCTTGTCGGAACAACGCTAATTCCGGATACAGACACATATACACAATATCGTGTCTCTCGCTGCTATTCTCTATTTTGTAATCGATCTCTTCGTGTTCGTCGCTTTTAAGTTTCAACGATCGAGAACGCAACGCGCGAGTCACACGTTACGCCACACACTCCTACATTTAAGTTCAATCAGTGTGTAACGCTCATCAACATTTATTTGATATTTCTATTCTAAGTAAATTAGCCCGATCGTTTACTTTATTTAGCTGTATAAGAGTGCAACCAGAATCGCCAAGGAATCACCATCGTGACACGCGTGTGAATCGAAGGGAAATTCCGATATCCATTTACTTACAAGCAAATCGTCATATTTAGAGGGAAAAAGAAAAAAAAAAGAATTGTAAGAGAATTGTATAATACAAAATAGAATGGATATATAAAGTAAGTGAAGCTGATGTATCAAATGGATAATACAAGGTACATTACTTTCTTATGTCATTGCAGAAACCGCGGAGTCTATATAAGAAACTGTGCGAGAGAGAGTGTGTGAAGCAAGTTGATCTTATACTTTTGTTCGATTTAAATTTTATATAATATATATCGCACACACACGAGCGGGCGCTTTTTCCAATTTGTTGTATTCTCCAGAACTCGCGGATTTGAAAGTCACACATCATTTAGCGGAAGTTGTAATTTATGTTGTCAGTCACTATAAAATATTTTTTCTTCTTTTTTTGAGATATACTATACTGCTGACACGTCAATGTACCTTACATTATCACGATTATACGTTTATTAAGCGTGTGAACACATTTGCAATTTTTAAAAAATATTTTTCACTTTATGTGAGGACGAATCGCGAATGATAGCACAAGGAAATCAATATAGGCAAAGGAGATCAGGAGATCTTGGATATATGCACTATCGTAAAATGTGTAATCATTCAGAATACGCGAAAAACCCGTGTCATTAATATTATAAACAAAAGATATATTTATATCGATTCAGTAGTATATAAACGAATTTTACTTTATTCATATCGGAAGATCTTTTTTTTCTTTTTTTTCTTCAAAACCTTCAATAAACGCATAGGTATAAATCGCCAAAGGAATGTACCTCTTAAACACATTGGACGAGACACAAGCATCGGGAATTGAACAAGAGATATGCTGTTATTTTCTAAGGAAATATTTAAAGTCCATTCTCGAATAATCGTAAAATAATATTTTTTATTTACTTTTATCTCTATTATCTTCTGGAAATAAAATCAATCCATAATTGCGAGTACACCCATTAATATTCATGTTAAAAAGTTGTCTTATTTTTATTTTTTAATCTTTTTCTGTAAATCTTTAATCATCCATTTCTTAATGCTACCAAGTATTGTTTTCATCTTTTTTTATATTGCGCAGCTTTTATATTGTGTTGCTTATGCCTTATTTGCTTCCTTGTATGAAAACACTTATTTCTACAGCGATATTTACAAGAACATACTGCACCACGCCAGTATAAAACAAAATCCCCCGATCGGCGTCGTTGAACTGAATCGTCTATTATTAGTAAATGCAGTATAATAACAACTTCCGCAGAACAGTACGATTCCAGAGAGCATGAAAGTCGCAGCCTACAACACAAGTGCACGTAAAATTATGCAAACTCCATACTTGATACAATTATTGCGGATTAATGACGACGTTCTACTTACCAAGGCTGGGAACTTGCATAACGGTAATCCCAGCAAGGCCAAAGTGTGTATAAAATGATATCGATTTGCCGTTTCGAAGATCCGACGTTGTTCCTGTCCTATCTCATCTTTAGAGTAATGTCCTGCAGAACAGAGCATTCGATCGAGTCTCGTATTTATACAGGTTTAAAATAATACATGCCATTTTTGGTAATTCACTTACGGTGGGATCCAAGGGCGCCAAGAATCACAGCTGCTGCACCGCTGAGAGCTGCAAGCCTCACGTATGGACCGGTGGCAGCAGCTAATTTCCATAAAGGTACTGGCGCTGCCATTTTCACCTCGATTTTCCGCTTCCCTCCCAAATACCTTGTTGCCTGATAGAGACCGTGATTGTTTTATATAAACAGCATTAAGTTCTCTTATGTTCATAGCTACTAACCGTTTAATAAGTAAACAATTACTGCTGATAACTGTAGAATGTTATTAAATTTTTATCAATATTCTTTAATTATCATTAGTTTTCTGATAAGAGCACTATCATTGCCATTACTTGGTAGCCATTTTAAATACATAAATGTTTACGATTGCTTACGTAATGCTTGTTAAAAAAACCACACAACATGACATTGCACATTGCAAACATAAAATATAAAAAAATTCATTATTCATTAATGCTTGCATTGAAAAGAATAATAATGAATAAATTAAGTAGTTAATTGCGCAATTATCTTGATATTATTACAACTGCGACAAAAACATCAATTTTTTAATTGTAATCTTCATCGCTCGTAAAAAAAAAATTGATAAGAACTGTCATAATGTGTACATATAAGAGTGTAAAAAAAGAGGAAAAGGATAAAATTCTTGTGTTTATTTTTAATTTCTATCAATATAGATAAACTTTAATCTTCATTTAATACATTTTTTATTCTTTTCTGATTCTAAGAATCAGAAATAAATAAATAAATAAAATCGAGAAGAGTTAAATTACATTGGTATAAAAAATGGACATTAAAGCAATTACTTTCATCAAGCTCCAATTAACTTAATCAATGATTCAACTGGCAAAATCATTTACAGCGTAACTTCTAATAAGGTATTGTGTTTAATTTAATCTTTTTCTCATATGTGAACAACAAAAAATTAATTCTATACACATCATCAAATTATCAAAACGGTATAAGTATCATTGATACACTCGACAAGTTGATCACTGATTACGTTTCAGAGAGAATGTAAATGTAAACAAGACATATATGTAGTGTTAGGAAAACATGGAGGAGACATCACCTAGGAGAGGTAGGTTTACCAGCAGATACGAAGTGTAAGCTCGACATGGGATCTGTCGTTTTGCAAGACTACGAAGATTAGACATGCTATATTGCCATAAGCTTACCGACGTGGCCGCATCCCAAGCATACGAGGCGGCTCCCGCACTCGTTTTGTGAATAACATTAAACGGCATAGTGACTGCTGTGTACATAACGTCCTGGAAGCCCATCTCGCGTGCCACTGTACACAGGACGAGCCGAGTGTCAATTTACGTACAAACATACATACATACATTGGATAACGGTGGTCCGGTGCGGCCGCATTCGCGACGACACGCGATTTCCATTCCTGTCGTCTGTTGTCAAGGTTGTCACCTTTTCTGCGAGCGTCAAGCAGCCGAGCCATGCGATTAATCACGATAAGATACTTCTAACTTGAGCGATAAACACAACCGCACCGTCAAATGCAAACGCACCGGATACCATCAAGCTGTTCGATTGTACTTACCACTTACCACTGCTACTGACTGCTACTCGATTTTCAAGTTCCAAACTCGTAATCTACACGCGAATCATCGCCATTACCGGCAACAACAAACTGCAAGACTGCAACAAATCGACGAGGAATGCGCCATCTTGGCTAATCGGACGCGAATTCGTACGTCATCTGTTCTTTGCAGGTGTCGATTTACACTTTCTGCTTACTTGAAATATGAAAGGAACATAACTGTGCGTTGGAGAGAAAAAGAGGAAGGATGGAAAGTACAGAAAGGACAATTATAAAAAATATCTCATTTGAATAATAAGTTATATTTTGTAACGTCTCTTTTTTTCTTTTTATCCTTTTGAGTCATCATTTTTTATCAGAGCTTTGATTAAAAACGTATTTAATATGCAAGGAACAATAAAAGCTGCCATAAGAGTCCAAAAATAAACATAAAACTCTGATACTAAATATTCCAAACATATCACTAATTTATATAATATCAAGGAGAGAAAATGTATATTTACACTGTTCTGTGATGTTGAGGAATTGGAAGTAATCTTCAATTCGTTACTTTCATAAATTTCACACTTAATGTTTGAATCTTTATTTATCTATTAATACAATTTATCATTAATTTTTAATACACAATGTAATTTTATACATAAAACATGATAAAAAAATATCAGTTGTCACAAAAAAACGTTCTTGTCCTAATATACAAATCATATGTATTTATATATGAATATTTTATAAAAAATAGATTATATATATAATATATATAAACATATACTTTATATATATATGTATACATCTTAGTATACACCCAGGAAACATGATTATATTGTCATCATTTTAATATTAACAAAATCTTGAGATATAAATCAAATTAATCAAATAAATGAAAGTTCAAGGTAAACTGAAATTCCAAGACTTTCCACTTACTAATGACGATAAATGATGACAAATAATGTGTTGCTACCTGAGTACGTAATTATATATAAAATAATGTTAAACACTGCTAGCTTGCGATATTGTTCGATTTTCCATTTGCATGTAAAATTGTTCTCCAAACCACTCTCTATGCATTTCCAAGTAACTGTAAACATATTGCATAATTAATGTACTTTTATCATGAGACTATGACATTTAATAATAAAAATGTAGTCCTCAATGTGTAATTAGTACACACCTTAAAAACATATCTAAATATTTCAAAAGTACTTTCAATTTTTTGCTGGATATATCTGCGGATTGTAATAACTCGGGTAACTTAACTGAAATTTAAAAATTCACATTATTTTTTACCGTGCAAAGATTTTACAATTTTGCATGTGCGACATGCTTCCGTAAAATAAAAGATAACTTACCAAATAATCTAGTTAAATGAATGGCACCGTAATAAGTGGAGGGACTTAGAATTTCGGTTTGCCTTAGAGCTTGAGGCATTAACCTCCACTTATTTGACTGCTGAAGTAAACTGTTTACTTGAGCGGATGTAACAACAGGCGGCATTCTTAGTGTTACACCTCGCGGGCTAGAACAACGGGAACTTGTACTTGCTATGCTACTAAAACAAAACAATCATAAAAATATTATATCTAATTTTAAACAAAAGTAAAATTCAGGAAAAGCAATAATTCTTGTTACATCATGCAGTTACAATTTCGACAAAAGAAAAGAGACATACTCCCAAAGAGTTGTTAAAAATAAATTAATAACTTATATAACATTTCGGTAACAAGAAGTTCGAAGTAATTCGATTATTACCTTGATAAATTGCCACCGTCCTGCTTTCCTTCGTCGTAAGATCTTAATTGCCGGCTTTCATCTACAGAGCTTACTCGACACGATCGCAATCTTCGCTTAGAATTGTTTGAAGGTTTACATGAATTGTCCATTTCTGAATCATGTTCTTGAAAAGGAGGTAAATGAGCATATTCCGCATCCTCAATTTCTTCTTTTGTCGATATTTCTAAGTTCCTTTGTAACACAGATGTTTATTTTATTAATACAAACGGCGAACCTTAATAGAAATTTTAATCTAATTATTATTCATAAAAAATTTACTCAATTAATTCCTCCTTTGGGATAATGGTCGTTTGTTCGTTGTTTGATAAGGAAGATTTCAGAGAATCATATTGTTCCTTTTCTTGCCTATACAAAAGGAGATGAGGTAATGTGAAATCGAAATATATGCGTAAGCCATCTGCAACTTCTCTGCTTATATTCACTTCATTCACTGTTTTTTCTATTGTATTATTCGTTTTATTACGCTGGGGTTTTTCTGGAATATTCGTCAATTGCGTCGTAGTGAAATGCTGTACCCAGGATTCCAGAATATTTATCACAGTAGGTTGTGCAGGAAGTACAACAAGCTGAAATAAATATCGATATTTGCGTGATATATAAGTTAGATAATTTAAATTAAAAGATTAGTCATAATATAAATCATGATCTGTATAAATTTAAATAAAAAAATAAGGTAAAACGATCATAATTAGATTTTAAAATATATTTTGCATTGACATATTATAATCTGTATATCTATTAAGCTAGAAATTAATTTCTAACTTACCTTATTTTTATTAGTTATCAGGTCATAATCTTGCTCTAAAATCCGTTTTAATGTGCTGCCTATGTCAAGATCAACTCCTGGTTTTATACTAGCTCCAGACTGACTACCACCGCCACTGTCTTCATCATCACTTGTTTCGCCCATATAATCAGAACTACTTTCTGTATCTTCTTCTGTGTTTACTTCCTGTAAATTATGTATACAATGTAATTCTCATAGGTCTTGCTTTATTACTTTTGCAGTCCTCGATCATCAATGTAGTACATGATACAAAGTTTAAGTCTTTTGCATAGCACAACAACATTAATGATGTCACCTCATGACATGACACCTAATAAATTTTCTTTTACCAATATTAGTGTAGATTTTTTAATTACTGAATTAATTTCTTCTATTATTACAGTATAACCTTTCTTAAGTACGTATCTCATTGACTTTTTTTCATATTTGACACGGGAATTTAAAAAGGAGATATACCTCCGTATCGTAATCAGCATGTTGACCCGAACTACCATCCTCAGAAGATCCGGTGGTAGCCGATGTAGCTCGGCTACCACCGCTTCGTGCCCTACGACGAGGCTCTTGATGTTCTGTTTCAGTTAGACGTTCTGACATTTTGTGACTTCTCTTTTTGCGTTCGCGGCGATATAAATAAGCACCACTACTTCATTAAAAAAAGTATGTTGATTTGTAATTAATCACATTAGATTTGTATAATGTTTTGTAATAGTTTTAGGAATACATACATGTGAAGCTGCGCTTTTTGTGCTAAATCTCGTTGAAGTTGACGATTCTCTTCTGTATCTTTAAGCACATATTCCTCTGTCACGCAACGATCCCAAGATGAATTCCAACCCTTATACAATAATGACACATATTTGTTTCCTTAAAATGCTTTACACAATTCATACAATTAATTAATTTCAATCAAACTTTTTTAACTCACTTGGAAGTGTATAAGATATTCCACTGCTTTTCTACCCCTTTGATCTTTATTTACAATAACATCAAGCACCTGCAAATGATTTTATATAATTCATTATAAAATATTAAAATAATTATTTTTTTTATAACTATTCAAATTCTACAAACTTTTATACGATGACAAGGTATATTTATATATCTATCCATACAATTTATTTCTACATTTCATAAATCTTTGATACGATTTTATAACCTTAAGTTACCTCTACTTTTGCAATATGTACTTCTTTCTTTGTAAAAGGTATCAACGTTTTTCGTTAAGGCATTCAATTTGCATGTTACATTTATATTTACATATGTACAACAATACTGCTGTTAAAGATGTAAATTGAATGCAAAGTATATGTATAATATATATGTCTAGCAATACATGAAGGTACCTTCGAGTCATACAACACTTTCGCCTTCGTAGGATCTGGTTCATAGCACAACACTTTCTCTCCGTCAGAAAATTTGAATTTTGGCCCTCGCGTTGACACCATCGTAAATTTTTAATGAAATGTAAGACGTATGTATTTAAAATACATAAATTACCAGCATAACCTATACAGCGAACGGCCAGAAATAAATAACATTTGTGTATCTGATAGAAATAATGATTTTTTAAGCGATATTACTTTAATCTTTACAAATCTTTCCGTTAGCAAACCTAATTAGTTTGTTTAATTTACTGTCACCTCTAAAAGCGTCTTCCCGGCGCGATTAGCGTTGTGTATCTTTCCCTCTCCATCTGCTGAAGTTAACCGCTTCAGATTTCAGGAACGCCATAAGCTCGTATCACACCTACGCATTCGATTTCGAGATCGAGGAATGCGAACTGAGAATTTAGACCAATTTCAATCGGTTAACCGTAATCTTCATTGTTTTACTTTGATTAGAAGAATGTATTATATATATTAAATATTTTTTTAACAAAGTGATAAAATATGAAAAAATTACAGATTTTTCTATATATTTTAAATCCAAAAAGTTCGATGACGATTCCGAACTTAAATAAACAATTATTTCAATAAAAAGTAGACATGTTTTTAAAAAAATAAGATAAAATGAAAAAATTTTAATTTAAACTACAAAAATATATATATTGTATTAAATATAAATATTAGCCTTATTGAACTATTTCACATATATCACAGTCAAAGTGTTAACTCAGTAAATGTATACATTTGCTGTAGTTAACGACGTGCTCTATCTAGGTATATTTAATGTACATGTAAATCAACTAGCAATATACATTTATTAAAGTTAACACTTTAATTATGAGACTTTTTGAGTTTTTGGAAATAGAGAAAATAGAGGAAAAAAAAGAAAAAAAATTAAAAATACACAAAATTTTAATTCCTCTATTCTAAAGTGCTATTCTCTTTAAGTTCTTCGATCTGCATTTTTTACTATTTACATTACAAGTACATATGGCATTTTTCATTTATTTTCTCAGTGGATCACATGCACATTTTCAACTTGCGTAAGATTTAAAAAAGAAAGGAGAAAAATGCTCACTAATTTTATTTAAAGATCGAGAAATTCGAATGTAATGTAATAACCTAATATAAATGACAATGAAATAAAATAATTCTATAATAGCGGAACGGTAAAGCAGTGAAAGTATAATAAAACA